CACTCGAAAAAGATCTAAAAATGCAATGCTCCACAATATTATTTTTCTTAAGCCAACCTGATATAATCTAAAAGTTTTCTAAGTGTGGGCAGGGGAGAATATTTCAGTCAACAAAAGAATAAATAGCACATGAAGCAATGACCTAAATACTAAATTAATTCCAGATTTTTGACCACAGATGTCTCTAAACAACTTTAAAAGTTGAATTACAGATTAGTGTATTGTCTGAGATGCAAGATGTGCTGGAATTCTGTATTTTAATGACCATCCAGAAATCCTGTAAAAGTCTTAACGATATAATGACCAAAATGCCGAAAAGATGGTTCCATGCTATATATATATATACCAATATATCTTAAAGTGTCATTTCACACTATGATAGGTTTATTATATAATATATTCTTTGGTATGGATTAATGTCTCCCCACTGAAAAAAGCACAGTAACTATTACACTAGGTTTTGAACGCATGATAAGAATTTGAGAAGCTTTCCCCAGCCTACTGAGCTCAGATGTTTTACAGTCATAAATATAGTATTAGAAACTAGCATAGTAGCTAAGAAGTAGCTAAGAAGTCTGGATGTTGTCATTTAACATAACTTAGTGCACTTGCTTGAGAATTGGTGGATTAAGCCTCAGGAAAAGGCTATATTACAGTTGTGTTCTGCGTTGCTTTTTTTACGATCAGTGTTCTACCGAAATAGAAAATAAAAAAATACAGGCACAAGCATAAATTTAAAAATATATAGTAAGAATGGAATCTGTATTGTTAAGCAATTTAATACCTAGAAAACATGATGTTTATTAAGCACTAATAAATGTAATAAATAGAAAATAGAATATAAACATTATATTGTCTGGGTTTGTGTAATTGCTTAACAGTACATATTACACCTCTTTTTTCCAACCACTTGTAAAATAAAGTCCATGTGATAATATTTTGTGTCTTCTTTATTTAATCTTCAGTGTAGGTCTGTCCATTTCTGCACAATCCAATATCTTCCTAATTATCTCTTCATCTCGCGGTGTTTATTCATTTTTCCAACATTGTGCAAATATAATCCTCACTGCTGTTAAGATGTGCAATATTAAATATATACTTTGCTTCTCGTGTTTTTCTGATATTATATCTAATAAAAACAATTCAGGTTTAAAATCTACATGTTTTCCTATCATCTTTTCTAACCACTTATGTATTTTCCCCCAAATTTTTGCTTTAACACAAGTCCACCACATATAATAATATGTGCCCCTTTTTTTGGTTAGATTTCCAACATTTGCTTGGCATATTTTTAAACATTTTAGCTAACCTAGCAAGTTATAAGTGCCATCTATAAAACATTTTATATAAATTTTCTTTATAAGAAGTTGTCATTGTCAATTTATAGTTCCTTTCCCATACATTTTGCCATTTCTCTAGTTCTATATTATAAACAAAGTTTTTTACCCACTGTGTCATTGTGTCTTTTACTTGTTCGTCCTCTATTTTCCAGTTTAATAAAAAAAATAATATCTTTTCCTAATTAATTTTTCATCAGAGTTCAACAATATCTTATCAAAGACTGTACTTTATAAAAGCCATACTTTTTCATGTCTTTATAATATCTAGAATGCATTTGCAATTGAGGCCACCATGATAATATAATGCTTTGGTCTTCAACCTCTTGCTTAGATTTTAATTTCCCTTTAGTGTCCAAAATATCTTTATGTGTCACAATTTTTTCTAACTTCACTAGACCTGGGTATGTAAAGGCTTCCATCATTGAGATTCGTTCTTGGATTTTTGAATAAATATTATGGGTGTTCTTTCCCCCATGTGGAGAATGGGGGATTTGGATTACTAGACTGGCTTTTATATTACCAAGCATGTATAATAACATGGTTAAAAGAATGGATAACTCTCAGACATAAAAGACTGTTATATTTAGAAGGACATGATTTATGACTAGGATTACATGCCTTCTTATGGTATGAGAAGAATAAAATTCACAGATACTTTCAAAATCACTATGTAAGAAACTCACTATTATCTTTACTTGTTCTAAGAGTGAGAGAATAATGAACAATTGGAAGAAATGTTGAGATTTTATGGGAGCAGGACTTTAGAAAAACTTATTTTGCACTGAAACTTTAAAAAGTTTCAGAATACTAGCTAACTTGAAGGTGAGATAGAACCTTTGTTTCTTTCAGTATTTATTCATGGAATATCTATCTATTCATGGAATCTTCACAGAAGTTCATCCTATAATAGAAACACGATGCCCTGTGGACACCAAGACTCAAGGAGTGGGAAAGGATACAACGCTACCAGGAAACAATTAAAAATACTAACGATTTATTATTTAGATTCACTAAATGATAGAAGGTGTTCTAATATCTCCCTCTGTCCTACTCAGCCTCCAGGAAATCCCTTAAAGATTGGCCTTCTTGCAATTACCTCTTTTAATTTTCTTTCTTGGGGGGGGGGGGGCGCTTCAAGTCAGTCTTGACTTCTGGCCTAGGCAACTTTTCTTGACAACTTTTCTCAGAAGTGCTTTGCCATTCTTTCTATAGCTGAAAGTGGGACATGGAGTGGGTCAGTGTCATCTAGATGGGTCTAAAGCTGTACGGGTTTATCAGGGACCTTGGAACAGGTAGTGCTTCTCAGCCAAATCTATAAGGTAGGGGTCATTGTATGAAAGTAGAATAAATGTTTTCTGTTATTAGCTCTGTCTCCTACAGAGACAGAGAGAAGAAAGTAGATTACACACAATAAACAAAAATCAATATTAGATCGGTAACAATGATCTCCCATGATTAGTTATTTTCATCACTACTCATATGACTTATATGCAAAACATTGAAATGTTATACCCTGTAACATATACCATAGCTGAATTGTATATCCATTAGGAGGCCACTTCCATACCCACATAGAAGTTTTATTTAGAATTATATGGATTGTGTATTTATGTTTACTTCTCTTCTGTCATGTTCTCATCATATCACTAAATAATAATAAATAACCATGCAACATACAGTACATAGGAAAACAGCAATCATTTCAGAATAAGAAAATGAGAAGGTACAGAAGACACATAGCTAATACTATGCCAATGTTCAGTTAGTATCTCCAGTATCTCCGTTTTTTATATTACAGATATGGCAAGTGGGATATGATGGTCACTGATAAATAAGTATGCTTACATGGATCTATGGATCTCTATCTCATCTATCTATCTATCTATCTATCTATCTATCTATCTATCTATCTATCTATCAATCAATCATCTATCTATCTGATCTTGTTCTCTTTCTTCAAATCATACAGCTCTACATTAAAATAGATAATTAAAATGTAGTTAAAATTAATCTATTAACTTATGTTGGCTTGCAAACTTCTACTTTCCAGTTCTTCATTTCCCTCCCTCCCCCAATCCTGCTGTTTGTCCTATGTCCCCACCACCACCACACACACACTGATGAAATTGAGACTGTAAACTCATTGTGGCCAGGACCTCTCCTCCTTTAAAGTGCCATGTACAATGATCTATAAATAACAGCATCAGCACTATGAGAGGTGACAAAAACGTCTAAGTATTTCTATGGCTGAAAATTACTCCTTGTCTGAAGCTTAAATGTCAGCAGTACTGAATATATGTTTCAATGATTTTTAATGTGCTATTTAAAAATACTTACTGTTCCTGTTTTCCAGTGATTCAATTTCCAAATGCAGCCCCTATGTCTGAAGAATACCTTCTCTCCATATTCTATATTAGTTTAAATTATATTAAGATATATGCAGCCCAAATCCTTTGCAACTTTAGTTCCAATTAATTTCCACTGATTTCAATTGTACTTATCCCCAAGTACATTTGTAAAAAGCTTCAGCTATAATCAAATAATCTTCTATGAGTTAAAATTCGTATTAGAAAACCAATTGCTTGAGGGTTTGAAAAAGGATAATACATCACAACTATTTAATCCTCTCACCAAAAATGTGAGATGGGCAGAAAAATCCCTAGATACTGGAAGTTTTTGATTACTTTGAGATTACTACAAAAAATTCACAGGTCTTTATTATTCAAGCTATTTTAATTAAGTTTCCCCATCCCAAGAAGCCTTACCACAATCATTTTAGTGCAGTGAAACTTCATATCAAGCTGCACATATCTTATATCATTCTTGAACTGTTTTTCTGCATCTCAAATGGTTTTCTCCTTTTTTATTGATTATATTGCCATATCCACAATAAAATCAAATAATACAATGTGATTATATTATTATAAAGGTAATAACCGATGAAGATTTGTTTTGTTTCCCATTCATTGACTGCCACACCTTGGAATTACCATCGTCAAATTAGCCTGAATTTGACTGAAATCCATTTGGAAAGAAGTTTATAGGTATATATACATAGTGTATATATACTGGACAAAGTCTAAACTTGTTTCTATAGAAATATTCCATAATTACCAAGTTCTCATACCATTATTATTAGTATTATTATTGCAGGCATTAGCATTCAAAATCCTTCTTAACGGATCTAGGTTGGTACCTCAAAGCAGCTTGCAATAATTAATGTAGAGAGGGAGTTCTATTTGCCAAATCTCCAGTTCTTTGCAAATTGTATTTTGTTCTCAGACAGGCCCAAGAGGACATTTCTTTCAGAAATCACATTTCCCCTAAAAACCAAACCAGAGAAAACTGCCCCCATTCTTCCCATAGATGCAAGTTGGAAGCCCAGCTTCCTCCAAGGCAAAACTTGGTCCCTATTTGGACCGCACTCTGATGCTTCTTGGAGGAAGGGATATGTCACCACTTATCTTCACGGGAAAGAAAGATGCAGAGCCCAACAGGGGGAAGAAGAGCAGAAGGAAAGAAAGCAAAGTTGGGGAGAGCAAGGCTCAGCAAAAGTGTGTTGTTTTATTTTGGGATGTTGTTGTTTTTTTTGCCAGAAGCCCCTCGGAGATGCACTATTCTTTTACCGAACAATTTCTGCGCCGCCAAATCTTACTGTACCTCGTTGTTGCGGCGCTGCTTGTTGCTGCTGCGGGCGCTGCTGCGACCGTCGGGGCTGCCCAAGTAAAGAACCGCACCGGCTCAGGGCGACTGCGAGGAGCAAGAGGGGAAGCCAAGGCGCTCGCCCCATAGCGGTCAACTTCGTGCTTTCTCGCTCCGATTCGGCGCTCCCGGCGAGCGCAAGGAGTGTGATGGGAGGCAGACACCGCGCCTCTGAGGAAAAGTGGAGGAGGAGGCGAAGCCCTGGCTGTCACCCGGGAGGGGACCGCGGAGGGACACGCCCCTGTCGCCTTCGCCGCCGCTACTTTTGCTCTCGGCTTCCATGGGGGCTGAGGAGTCACAAGACAATGAACAATCGGCAAAGTCTTCCAAAGAGGGAGGCTTAGCGCGCATTAACGGGGGGAAGGGGCAGCGTGGGAGGGGGTGCTTGGCCGTGCATTGGGGATAAAAGAGCAACTGCTCTGTCTCGCCTACAAGAGCGAGGATGGGAGTCTTTCCAAGCAAGCCACAACAAACAGCAGAAGAGTCTTAAAACTCGGGCGCTCTTAATGGTCGATCTTGAAGAGCTGGAAGGCGTTTCGTTACATCGCCCCCAAACTCATCGTTGGGAGCGGTGTAGCCGCTGAATACATGAGAAGCTTTGGGCAAAGTTATTTGAGTTTTAAAACGCATCCGCGCTTCTCTTGGGAGTTGCGAGTCAGGTAAACCAGAAGAGAAAATTGGGGCAGAGAAATTCTCTTGCGCTGTTGCAACCGTCCAGCTTCAGTTTCTTGAACAGATTATAGCAATTCAACTAAAACTGGATTAGATGAGAATAAAATAAGCTACATTTTGAGCTGAAGCCCACTTCTCCAAGTTTGTGGACACTTACAGAAATTGTAATCCATGATTTCTTGCATTCAAGTATTGCCCAGGTGATACCTTGTTTAGCTTCTTCAGGATAAGCCAAGTACATATGGATGCAGATACCTGCATCCATATGAGCAATTTTGGTATTTGGAGGTCCTCCTCAACTTATGGTTTCTGTGGAATCATGAAGGCCATGACTAGGGGAGCTTTTGCCTTGCTTTGACTGATGCACCTATTGCATCTTTACCTGGTCCAGGAGAACCCAGTGAGTTCACTCAAACTGAATTGCAGAACATATGACTTCAGCAACAGAGTGGTCAATGCCTGGAATGCACTACCTGACTCTGTTGTATCCTCAAACCCCCATAGCTTTAACCTTAAACTGTCTACTACTGACCTCACCACATTCCTAAGAGGTGAATAGGGGTGTGCATAAGCGCACCAGTGTGCCTAACATTCCTGTCCTACTGTCCCCATTTATTTGTACCCATTTCCTGTGTTCTTATTCATGTTTATTCTTATTCCTGTTATCTTGTGCATGAGTGACAAAATAAATAAATAAATAAATAAATAAATAAATAAATAAATAAATAAATACATACATACATACATACATACATACATACATACATACATACATACATACAGTCCCTCATACTCTTACAACCATCTTCATAGGCCACTGCCATGTACTTTACTTGTGGCGAGACTAGCTAGAAATTTCAATAAGACCCAAATGTGATGACCTATGTCTTAACTGGTTCCTGATGCTGGCCGAATATTTGTAGTTAAAGCACTAGACTAGGCTGAAAACCAGGAGATTGTGTATTCTAGTCCTGCTACAGGCATGAAAAATTAGCTGGGCAACATTGGGTCAGTCATTATCAACCAATCCAACTGACAGGGTTGTTTCAGTGGGAGAAATAGAAAAAGGAGTATTATATATGTTTAGCACCTTTGGATTACTTCTAAAAATAAATAAAATAGATTAAAATTATTTTTAAAATGCTGATACCCAAAAGGCTCTTTGTGACTTGGCACCTGAGTATCTATAGGATCATATCTCTAGATCCACCTTATCTGATGAGATTCAGCTTAGCCTGTTGGATCATAGATAGAGGGGGCATTTCTTGTTCTGAATTTCTGGGATGTGAACCAAGGCTAAAATATCCCCTCCACCCCCCGAAAGACCTGTTGTGGTTTTACTATTTTATTTTTGGTCACTTATTGTTTGTCCCTTGTTGCTGCACACCCTTCCCTTATGATTGTAAGCCGCCCTGAGTCCCCTCAGGGAGAAGGGCGGCCTATAAGTCTTAATAAATGAACTAAAAAATGAACTTTCAGTAACTCCACCTGTCCTGCTTGTTCTTATTTATTTTTCTGCTCTATTTCAATTTTGTTTTTATTATTTGGATTGAATGCTGTTTTAATTTTGTTGTTGTTATAGTGACATTATAATTGCCTACAGTAATGAAATAAATGAGGCAGTTTCATTTGTTTTGTAGTGTAGTAGAACAGGAGTCTCGCAGTTCTCCAAGCATATTTGAGACATGAAAACATTACTTGTAAATTCTCAGGATGCTAACAGCAAAACTATAGGAAGTGGTCCGAGAAAGGGAGCAACTCAACTTAGCAAGTCTTCAAGCAACAGCAGAATTTTGTAGTCAGGTCACACAGTTGGCACCTTGAGACTTGTCACACTCAGCGGTGTCACCTTCCAGGAACTCCTATCCTCTTGTGCCCTCTGTGGTAGTCGTTGCCCAGGGAGTAGCAGGAGGAGTATTGCCCAGGGAAAGTGGCCTGACAAGCTGGCACTATTTGAAGAAGAGAAAGAGGAATAAGCTAAAGAGTAAAAGGGCCAGGTCTGGATGCCCCAAGTGAGGATTTCTCTAGTGGGTAAGGAGTGGGAAAACCATAAAACAAACAAGCTAGATTGTGTGATCTAAGAGCCATGGTGGTGCAGTGTTTAGAATGCAGTACTGCAGGCTACTTCTGCTGACTGTTGACTGCTGATTGCCGGCAGTTCAAGACTCATGGCTCAAGGTTGACTCAGCCTTCCATCTTTCCGAGGTGGGTAAAATGAGGACCCACATTGTTGGGGGCAATATGCTGACTGTAAACCACTTAGAGAGGGCTGTAAAGCACTGTGAAGTAGTAGATAAGTCTAAGTGCTATTGCTATCATCCTAGATATTATTCTGAAGAAAACTGCATATCAGCTCAATAATAAAATCAAATATGGTGTTTAGGTTGGTTAAAAAAACATTGCCAGATCCTGGTGAGAATGGCATGGCTCTGTTTCTCAGCTTTGTTTCACAAATTGTTCTGACACTTAGAGAAGGGTTTTGTTTTGCTTTATTTTGTTTAATAAATGTGTGTACGAAGAGACAATTCCTTCATGTTTGATTCGGGGATACTTTTGTAACTAAGAAAAGACTTTGGTATTGTGGTTGTAGGCTGATGAATTAGTCAGGCAACATTCAACTTGAGTTTGAGATCTTGATGCAATACCAAAGCATAATCTACTTTCATACAAGAAATGTATTGTTATAAAAGTTAATTGTGGAAGTAACTTTAAATTGCTACAAGGATCTTTAAAAATGGATTGCATGCTTCCAAATCAAAAATAATTGATTAGAAATGAAAATACTGCAAAAGAAGGACAAAAGAAGATTTTGACAATGGAACTGAGGTAACAAAGAAGTAGTTAAATTTCAAGGCTACAAGAGAGGAAATGTAGTAGAAGAAATGTAAGGTGGGGAGACAAGATAAGAAATCATATTGAGATTAAAAAAACTTTAAAATGGGGTTACCATAAATTATATGTTTGAAATTCCCAGAGAAAGCCATTCACTCTATATGCCACAACACTGACCAGGATAAGAGAACTATAACAAAACCAAACATGGATGTCAGAGATATTTTACATGAAAGAACTTCCCATTGACTGTGGAATATACAAACTAAATCTTACACTTACTGCGGTAAAAACATTGTTCAAATAAATACAAATAATTGAGACTGAAAAATATTTTCTTTGTATAGGTTTAGTGGCAAATCTTGATGTGATAGAGTGTGTACCTTGGGAAGCAGTGTTGGGGGATGGGTTTTGGCAACACAGTGTTTTCCCATAGAAAGACCCAGATTAAGAAACAGCACAGTCCTGAACTGGAAGGGGGAAGGGGCAGATTGTCTGCCTGTTTGCTGGGTGGGCGTGACCATGGTGGGTGTTAGGTAAGCTTCCCGTTGGGAGACTGAGTATGTTCAGCAAAGCGTTGTGAGAGTTGTGTTGGAGAACACACAAACCAGCATACAGAGACACTGCAGTTTAAATAGGGTTTTACTTTCGTGGAAATAGAGGTATCAGAATCCATCAAACAGTCCAAGTCATACACGGATAAGACAGTCAGTCATCAATGTCTTTCAGTTAAGGGATAATCCAAATAACATAGTCCAGTATCATATAATCAGTTTGGTACACAAAGTTTGCTAGCAGTTGCAAAACTTACAATAGCTCACGGCATTCAGATCAGATCAGCCCAGCATCTAACGAACAGAGAGACCTAACAATCATTCTGGCTCCCTCTTATGGCTAATTGAGGAAAAACAGCAACCAATCACATTTTACAGTATGTTTAAAGAAACAGGTATAGCATTGTTACATGATTTATATATTGCCAACCCAACCATTAGAATTATATTCCTAACAGTGGGCATGGCTTACTTGGCCTCCTGCACGATGGCGGGTTGGTGGTGGTTTCCCTTCCCTAGGCATTCCTTGAGCCTCTGGGAGGGTGAAAACTGGCTCCCCCGGGCTTGGGAGGCCCTCCGAAGGGCAGAAACAGACCCATTTCTGGCCTTCTAGAACTTCCAGGAGGCCTGTTTCCCCCCACCCTGAGCCTCCACATCGGCCCTGCAATTACCTCACATCCAAAACGGGCCGCATGGAGAGAAGACCATGTGAAGGAAGGATGGGGTAGGAGGGGAGGGGAGGTGTGGGTGGGGCCAGCCACGGGTGGATTGGGAGGTTCTCCAAACCGGCCATAACATTAGGTACGGGTTCTCCCAAACCCGGGCGAACCCGAAGCAGCTCACCCATGGGAAGGGGAAGAGGTTCAGCGTAGCCACACTCTAGAATCTCTCAGGATAGATCTAGTAGGTTAGAAGGCTGTAGCTTTAGTTTGGCAAACTCTGTTCATTCATTTTAGCAAATAAAGGATTGGACTCAATTAGATCTTGTTGTGTCATCTTTAGGTTTGGGCTTGACATAAATCTTGCCAAACTAATGTAACTCTGTTTCCTAATAAATATATCCTGAGATATTCTATGGTGTGGCTACCCCGAACCTCTTCCACTCTCTCTGTTCCATTTTGAGACTGTG